ATAGCAGTAAGTTCAAAAATAAAAATAGCCATTATGATTGCCAACCTCTGTAGAGAGACGGCACTCTAAGAAGACGATATAATTAGCACCTGCAACTTTTTGTATAAAATACGTTTGTCGAATTCTTTTTTTATGAATTATAAATCATTTAACGTTTTTAAATACCGAAAAAAGATTTACGAAGAATAAGTTTTTTTATTAAATAAAATATAAAAAAACCACTTAGAACATCACTTTAGACTTATAAACGATAGTATTTATATAACAATAAATATTTGTTAAGATCCATGGTTAAAAAGTCAAATATCAACTATCGATGAACAAATATTTGATTTGTAAACACCAGGTGCCGAATATTTGTCGTGAACTGTTAAATTCAAGTAGACAAATGTTTGTTCACGAATTCCTTTAACTTACAGGATGCTAAATCGTAAGGTTAAAAGTTCAGTTTGTATTATCTAATGTTCCTAAAAGATCTACTTATTTCGCCTTAACTAACGATAATACAAAATAATTCTATAGATGCATTTATCTTCGATGAATAACAGTTAATTTTTTCATACACACCTCTCGATAAAGACACCTTTCCATAACGGATAAATCTGAATAACTAGAATTTCGTTATAGCTTTTAGATATAATTGTATTTCTAAATAAAGGCACATTTTAAAAAAACCGAAATGCATAAGTGAAATAATGACCAGTGTCATTATCATAAGAAAATGAGGCCCAAGATAGATATAAGACTACTAAAAGAAAATGACATCCAGAAAAAAGTAAAAACAGAGATTGATAAGAATTTTGCGAAAATAGTTAAAGCACACTACTAGAGGCATAGAAGAACAGTGGAACGAAATGAATACATCTATTACCACAATTTCGCATGAACATCTAAGATCAAAAAGAGAATAGAAGCAAGAATGAATGACAGATAAAATATTGCAGATGATGGAAGAGCGGTGAAAATTAAAAGGTAGAAATGATAACCAATACAAAAAGTTGCATAAGACTATACCAAAGGAGATAAAAAGAGCAAAAGAAGTATGGCTGACGGAGAAATGTACGGAAGTTGAAACAATACAACGTAATTCTGACGATTTCCACATGCAAAAAAAAAATTAAAGAGGTACAGAACATCAGAACACAACGCAATACAGGCATAGTTGTAGACATTGAAGGCCAGACTCCCATTGAAGATAAATTACGAAGATGGAAAGAATATATGCAAAAATTATTCAAAGATGCAACACCAAGTCCGACTGAAATAAACGATCCCTACGGCCCAGAAATAACAAATGAAAAAGTAATTATGACCATTAAGCGGATTAAAGATGGGAAATTACCAGCACCTGATGAGGTACATGGTGAAATTTTAAAGCTATTAGTGATACACCAAATCACAGCTCTTATGAAGCTATTTAACAACATCTACGAGATTGTTACTTACTAAAAGACTGGCTACTATCAATATTCATTCCACTTCCTAAAAAAGCCAACTCAAGAAAATGTGAAGAACATTGATTGATTAGTTTGATGAGCCATGTATTTAAAGTACTCCTTGCTATCATTCACTCAGATTCAGAGCAAAACTCGGAAACGAGGGAAGCATTTTTTAGTTTGCAAGTTCTAATACAGAGAACCAGGGATGTCAACTGCGAGGTGTATGCATGTTTCATTGATTTCGAGAAGGCATTTGATAAGTAACTAATCGATATCTAAAAACATTAGGACTCGATGGTAAGGATATAGGACTGATCTCAAACTTATATCTCCAACAAAAAGCAACAGTTCGATTAGAAAATGAACTGTCCGAGATCTTCACAGTCGAGAAAGGAGTTAGACAGGGTTGCATATTGTCACCGGCATTATTTAACATATATTCTGAAAACATCTTTAGAGAGGCCTTGGATTAAGCAGAAGATGTGATTGCTGTAAATGGCCAACTTATAAACAACATTAGATATGCAGACGATACAGTGTTGCTGGCAGATAGTGCCCAGAGGCTCCAAAGCATGATGGATAACTTTGTAGAAACATGTAACAAAAAAAATTGCAAGTAGACAAAAGCCTAAAAAGCCAAAAGTAGGCCTAAAACTAAATTGCAAGTAGACCAAAATAATGATCAATAGTAAGAACACCAACATAAACGCCCAAATTACAATAGGCGATGCACCGTTAGAAAAAGTGAAAAAAATATGCTATTTAGGCTGCAATATTAAAGATACTTGGGATCACAGCTACGAAATAAAAACTCGTATTGAAAAAGCCAGAAGCTTTTTCGACAGCCTTAGGAAGTTTCTCTGCACTATTTTTTAGTTATCAATATACGCATAAGAATTCTTAGATGTTACGTGTTTGATGTCCTCCTCTATGGAGTAGAAAGCTATAGCCTTACAGAAAGTGCCATAAAACGATTAGATGCATTTGAAATGTGGTGCTGCCGACGTATGTTGAGGGTCTCATGTATACACCACACAAGTAACATAACTATTCTCCAGAGGCTAAGAAAAGACAAAGAAATTATTAATACCGTAAAGAACAGAAAATTGGCTTACTTCGGCTCTATCATGCGTAATAATATGCGACTTCTACAGTTGATTCTACAAGGCAAGATTGAGCGTAAGAGAGGCCCTGGATCTGGACGTATATCGTATATAGACGTATATTGGCTGGCCAATTTTAGGAAGTGGACTAGTTTAACGTGAACTAATCTATTTCGAGCTACTCTGAATAGAATAAGATGGGTCAATGTAGTCGCCAACATCTCTAGAAGATAGGCACATTTAGAAGAGGGTAGTTTTTAGATATTGGTCAATGTACAAATCTACAGCAATTAATTAGCAATAAAATATGCCGCCAAGATGAGCACTGTAGTCCTAAATTAGCAATACAATCTCGTTGTAACCGACTTTACCGACATGCATAAGACGAAGTGTTGCAACGCAATTGATGATGATGATAACAGACACTCAGGATCTATTGTAATTTTAAAAATTTTAACACATTGTAAATACTTTCAGGTCTTAAAGGTCTTAGTAAAAAACTACAGAAATGTTTACTTCATTATGAAACAGACACAAAAATATTAAAAAAAATTTAATTTATACATTATACTACATACATACCTACTTGCTAAATTGTAATTAACTTTAATTGTAAATATCCTCACTGTAATACTCAGTTTGTAATTAACTTATTGTATATATCCTCCTGCTAATTAAATAACTCTCAGTAGTAGATGCGGTTTCAAAATAAACAATATAGTTTCCTAAGCTCGAAAAACTTAGGAACTTATAATATGTGGGAGGACTATACTGAACTTTATAAAAAATAGACTGGCAAATGGAAAGACAATACTCACAATCCAAAATAATTTATTACTGGTATTAAAAAGATGGCGAACAGTTTCGGAGTTAATGATACATCAGGCCCAGTAAAATTCTGTTAAATTGTCTGCGCAAAACACATAAAGAGGGTATGCCGCTGCGGCCTATTGTCTCATGTATTCAGTTTCCTTTTGAAAACCTTTCAAAATATTTGAAAGAACATTATTTCCAACGTAATAAATTAAGATCTATTATTTATAACAAATTATAAATTAGTTTCTCTCGATGTGGTATCTTTATACGCCAATATTCCAATAGCTTTAGCGAAAGACATTATTAAGAGAAAGTGGAATGAAATCAAAGTGTTCACAGACATCCCTCTGATGTCAACAATCCCAACAATCATCAACCAACAAACAGATAGATCTGCTATAGGAGCTAGCATATCCAGTGCCATCGCTCAATTAGTTTTAGAGCATCTAGAAGAAATTGTTTTAAATAAAATAGATTTTTATTCACCTTTTTTCTATCGCTATATAGATGACTGCTTGAGTGTAGCACCAGAGGATAAAATGGATATTTTACTAAATGAATTCAATAACTTTCACCAAAAACTAAATTTCACATTAGAAGTTGAAAAAATTGTCAAATTAATTTTCTGGACCTAACTTTACATAGAAAAAACAGCACTATAACTACTTCATGGTACACCAAAAAACCTGGTCGTCGAGATATCTGAATTTCAACTCTCATCATCCTTGAATCAAAAGAAACCTGTAGTTACCGAACTCGCCGATAGAGCTATTAGATTATCCGATCCCATCAATAGACCTCAGGCCATTAAAAAAGCAAAAACAGCACTAACACTTAATTCATTTCCACACCACCTTATCGACAACACTTTCAAATCGCGACTGCATAAATTTTACAATAACAATAAAACCAACACGGTAAAGAAAAACTGTATATGTCTCTCCCCTAAATAAAAGGTTTATCAGAACAAATTATGCAACATTACGGTTGCTCATAAAGGGTACAATCTTTTGAAAAAGAATTATACAATACTAAAAACAAAAACCCTCTATTCAAAAAATCGCATGTTATGTATGACATTCCTGCTCGAATTGTGATGGAGTATATATTGGACAAACCAGTCAGCTACTTAACTCAAGAATACGTTCTCACAAATATGACAAAAAAAAAACTCAACCGCCCTCACAAAACATGAAAACGAAAAGAAACATAAATTTGATTTTGACAAAACCAAGATCCTAAAAAGTGAACATAACAGGAAGACAAGGGAGCTCCTAGAGTCTATACAAATAAAAAAGAATAATAATGCAATAAATGATAAAAAAGATGTCAAAAATTTAAACAAGATATATTTTAATTTAATTTAAAAACACACAAAAAAATAATCTCAGAACGCCTATGATGTTAAAAATTTTAAATTTTAAAATACATTTTACATGTAGTGACTTAGTGGGTCTGTCATATGCTTTTATTATTATTTTAATTGTGACGTTTAATGTATACTTGCTAGCACCGAACATTTACATGCTTGGTAAGTCAAAAGTTTCTCTTTTAAACTTTATAATGTCTTTGATAAAATGTTTTTTAGTCCATAATATTTCTTGAAAAAGGCGTAATATATTATTTCAATATTTTTACATACCTTCGACATTCACAAACGCGTAGACAACCACCCCACTCGCCTACTATTACTATAAACGATAACTACTATTATAACTGAACCTTTCTTAGTGTTCGGATTCAATGACTTTGAATGAGCGATAGTTGAATGCAAAAATCTAATTTATATATTTATGCAAATAATCCGCAGACCCACCCAGTTGATTTATTAACATTTTTTATAAATTGTACTAATGTCATTTTATATTGTCTTTTGTTGTTATCCGATGCGATGTTGAACACTTGCCCCTGGGGTGGAATCAGATCACCATGACCGATTTTAAGCAAGTCATTTTTTGTTTAAAGATATATCGGAAGTGATCTTTAAAAATAATAATATCAAGTACGTTTTAGACAATACAAGTAGTTGTTTTATAAAATAATTGTGTCCTTAATATAACACGACACACAATAGTGAAATGCATCGCTTAACATATTCGTTTTTCCTTTCCTTCCCACTTCCTAAAGAAGCTAGAGAAATTAAACAGAATATACTCAGTTTGAAAATTATTGGTAGCACACTTTTTATCACGTAGCTGAAAATGTCCAATGTGATGTCATCAACCAGTAACGAGAAATTTCAAAATCATTTGAAATTTTCTTATCTCAAATGTTGCAGTAATTTTAATTCTTAATAAACCCATAATGTAGTTACCCACTTAAACTATCTATCTATTTATATAAGGATTTTTACAGCTGTCGCCGCCTTTCTTCTTTCAGTCAACGTCTGCAGTCCTTTCTGTTCTGCCATTCTCCATCTCTAAGATCTCGTCTTTCCATGGCCTCGTACACTTCATCCCTCCATGATCTTCGGGGTCTACCTCTTTTCCTCTCCCTATTGCTATCCACCTTGTATGATCTCCTCACATGTCCATACCAAATTAAACATTTTAAACTAATCGGGTATAAAATACTATCCTTAAGAAACATCTAATTTTCTTAGAAAGGATTAAACTTTTCAATCGACATCAAATATCTATAATTATAATTGTCAATAATTTCAATTTCGATTTACACTTTTGTATGTTTAGACCCAGTGTTTTCCATCGTGGGGACCACTGCGATACATTGGACAATTTAATTTTAGTGGCAACTCTTTCGCTCCGGGCCATTTAAATCCAATGCAAAATTATTAAATAATTACGGTAAATAATAATTAGGTATCATTTCGCTAGACGAGACCAAAATATCAACTGGGTGTGTGGCGTCGTCACGTAAAGTTCCCTGCGGTAGACGGCAGGCGCTTCTGTTAACAATCGACGGTAAAGCATTTGTGAGCTATTTAGCCGATATATTTAAAAAAATTCTTGTTCTTCTTCGTCTTCCTCTTTATAAGCAATCCTGTTTCGTCATATAGTGTTATTAAGGCATCCTACCAGTCTCTTTGCTTTTTGTACTTGATCTCTCACTTCTTTGTCCAGGTCTCCATAGCTAGACAGTGTAATTCCCAGGTATCTTCATCTTGGGCTATCAATATTGCGTCGTCTGCCTAACAGAGTAATTTTATTTCTTTGTTTCACATTCTGTATCCTCTTGCTTTGTTAACGCTTTTGATCATTTCCTCCATAATCAAATTGAAGAGCATGGATCTCAATGAATCTTCTTCTTCTTCATGTACCATGTCCTTTCAGAACGTTGGTTACCATCATAGCTATGTTAATTTTATTTACTGCCACCCTAGATAGCATGCTTGTATCAACACCATAACAATCTCGCAAGTTCTTCAACCATGAGGTTCTTCTTCGTCTTGGAATACGTTTGCCTGCTATTTTTTCTTGCATGTTATTTTATAGCAACCTATATTTGGGACCTCTCATTACATGTCCGAAATATTCCAACTTTCTCTGCTTGATGCTTTTTATGATCTCAGTAGTCTTGCTGAGCCGTTCTAGTACTGTGGAGTTTCGAATCTTCTCCACCCAGGAAACTTTTTAAATTCTTCTATAGCACCACATTTCGAAAGCCTCAAGGCGATTTAGATCGATTTTATTCACAGTCCAGGACTCAACAGCATAAAGTAAGACCGAGAACACGTAGCAGCGAAGTAAGCAGATGCTTAATGCCAATTTTAGGTCTCTGTTACATAACACCTTGGACATCCTTCTAAAAGCAGCTCTAACCTGCTCTATCCTGGATCTAATTTCGCCGTGACTTTCTGCGTTACAATTTAATTGCTGTCCAAGGTAAACGATTTTATCAACTTGCTCAAATTTGGTATTATTTACATATATAGACGGTTTTATACACTGTTGTTTACTTATTACGAGTATTTTGGTTTTCCTTATGTTAAGATCCAGACCTGCCTCCCTACAACTCTCAACGACACTATCAAGTAGTGTTTGCAGATCTTCTTGACTAGAAGCTAGGAGTACTGTATCATCCGCATATCGCAAATTATTGATGACTTCGCCTTTACAAGTATTCCTTCTTGTTTTTCAGAAAGTACTTTTCTGAAAATTCTTTCGGAGTAAACGTTAAAAAGCAGGGGTGACAAGAGGCATCCTGCACGTACTCCTCTTTTAATATTGAGAGCCTGTGATTTCACACTCCCTTTGACAATTTCTTTGTCTTATCCCACTGCCTATTTTTATAGGTCCTGTAAGGTTTCCATCTATTCTGACTTCCATTTTGTTGTTTTGGTAGATGTTTTCGATAGTTTTTTTAATATTTAGGGGAACTTCTCTATTATACAGAAGATGGATTACATATTTGAGACTTACTCTGTCAAATGCCGGTCTATTATCCTCTAGTGATTTCTCAGTAATTAAGTCCTAAGATATTAGACTTAATCATTAGACTCCATCACTTTCTGTGATATTTGTGTTTCTGCTTTTTTCGGTTATTCCTTTTTGGAATAGGTATCTTGTGGAGTCATCCTGTAAGCTTTCGACTTATATCTTTGCGGAGTATTCTGGTGTTTTGTTATCAGTAGTAATATCCCTAGGACATTGATAACAGACGAGATAATTTCATGACAATCGAAAGCTCGTTCCTTGGTAACAGTACGAAGCCAAAGGCTGAGTGCTGTTACCAAGCAACGAGCTTGAGAAATTTGTCATGAAATTATGAGGCATTCATCAATGTCCGAGGGATATTCGGCGGATAATTTTTCGAAAAAAAAAAAAAAATCATAACCCAACATAACGAAACATTTATTTATTAAAAGTACAATTATTAAAATTTAAGTTAACATTCTCATTGCCGAAACGTGACATTTTGAAATTTATTTGGATGAAGTTGTCAAACTCGATCGTGTTGTCATAGGGATTGAAAATTGCACTGAATGCAATTATCAGTCTAATGTTCACATGATTGGGTGAAATTGTTCCACATGACACAAAATGACGAAATTTGAATGGTTGTTAGAACAATCGAAAAATTATCACATAAATGTGTTTTCATTCGGATTTTGCATTTCTAATATTTTCATTATATCGCTGTTTTACTCCTGGAACTATATCATTGCCATCACGGGCGTTAAAATCATCGTTAATGATCATACATTCATTATTTGGGGTCTCGTCTGAAGGTGTTCGTAGAACTTTTCCCTTCTGGTGGTATCTCTGTTTTACATTCAGTTTTACTTTTACACTTACTATTCTTTCAGAGGTATATTTACAGTGCTTTTGGTCCGTGAGGCCAAATGGAAACACTTCATCTACATATCTCCACCATATTGTGAGTTGTTTGTCTTGTTTGTGTACATGTTTTGTTCGAAATTCTCCATAAATACATCTACTAATAATGGAGATAAGGATGAGCCCATGGCTAATACGAAATTTTGTTTATAGTTAGAAATCATTTTCTAGTTGAAAATAAGTGTTGTCAGTGCAAAGTGTTGTAGCTTCATGATATTTGTAATATATTTCTTCTAGTTTTGGCAAAAATTGCTGTGAGTTTTTGATAAAACATGTTCTGTTATGTGCTAATGGCTGTGTTATGTCTAGGAGGACTTTTACAGTCTGCTGCAAGGAGAAAATATGCTGCTGCAAATTGGTCTGAGGGGTACATTTTCTTTGTGAATTTTTGGAACTCCGTATAGGTGTGTTGTTAGTGTTCTTCTTTGGGAGTCTGTCAGGGTATTCCTTTTTGTACAGTGTTTTATATATTTTGTTTTCCAGTGATTAGGTCGGGTCCTTTTTTAGTTTGGTGTAAGGTTCCTTTGTGACTAATTCTTGTATTTTCTCCTGATATTCACTTTTGTTCATAACTACAGTTGCCTTGTCCTTATCGGTTGGTAATATTATTATGGACTCATCTTCTTTTAGAGCTTTGATAGCTATGAGTTTCTCTTTACTAACATTTGTTTTTGATTTTGTGCTTTTTCCCAGTTCCTTTTTGCACAGTTCCTTTTGCATATATTCTTCCTTTTCATGTGCTGATAGTACTGAACAGAATCCTTTCAGAATCTTTTTAGTGATTAGCTTTCTGCATCATAAAAAATTACGGATCAGAATACCGCAAAATATTTGCGGGAATCTGTTGTCAATGTATTGGCCGAAATGTAGGTAAATGGTCTAATATTATTTTCTGTTTTACTTGGTGGACTATTCTGCTATTAAGGTGGGTTGACATTATCTAAGAATGCTTGGATTCCAACTTGGATCAAGTGGACTTGTACAAGTGTACTTGTACCAAGTTGGTTGCCACGTTTAAATGACTTGGATGTCAAATAACCATTATAAAGAAGGTGGAAGTAATTGTGGAAGGTATTCTAGTGGTTGCTGAAGTGTTGATGCATAAGCTTGAAATCTAGAAAAACGGAATAAAAAAGAAAAAATGCCGCTCTGCTAGCATCCTTATTTTATATTCCTTTATCCGTACATTTGCTTCTCAGCTTCGTATCTCCATGAATCTAACACTTCCTTTTCTGACCCTTTCCTTTTTGTGGTTACTTCACGTGTTTCATATTTACCGACACCGACGCCATTTTAATTTACAATACCACACTACTTGAGGATGTTGTCCAGCGTCCTATTTAACTTGGATAGAACTTGTTGATACAAGTCGAATTGGGTGAACAGGTGACACGATTCAAAGTAGCTTTGTAGAAACCAAGTACACTTGGATCGTGTCAACCCGTCTGTAATCGTGTGTTGTAAGTTCATCCTCAGGTTGGTTGCTTTTCACCAGCTTTGAAGTCGTGAATGCTTGCAATGACTTTTAATTTTTTTATGCGAATAATTAGAAGGGCAATAAGGTTGCCGATTCAGATGGTCCCTTCAAATTTCCTGCGACTATATTGTAGATATGCACATTTCTCTTTGTTAATCAGGTGGTTTTCAATATTATGTCATGTTTTTTTAGATCTTTCACTTTTTTTTTTTAATTATATTTAGAACACATATACTAAGATATATTTTTCCATAAAATCACGTATATTTCGGTTCGTTTTGTTTAAAAAAGGTTTTGTTCTAGAATTATCTATAACCTAGGTATAAAAAAGATTCTAATATCAAAAAAATCATATACAACATTAGTTGTTCTTTATTTAAAATAAATAATATTTGCTTTATAAATATTTAAAATTATTATATGAGCAATATCTTTGTTGCCTATTTTAACTATTTCCTAACACTACAATAAATAAATACAATCACAACCTCAATAATAAACAAAATACATTTATAAATATGCATAAGTAAGTATGGACATTGTGGCAATTGTTTCAGTCTTGTGTAGTTCTTGGAACTAATATGACTAATAATTATAACTATTGAACTAAGATTTGTTAACGGTCCTAGTTATTCTATTTTATAAATGTTTTTTTGTTTTATCTTAATTTAAATTATTATTTGTAAAACAATTTCAAATTGCTTAGCTCTGTTTCTTCCACGTCTTTTTAATCAAATCGGCAGCTTTTTCTCCAATCATGTAACCAGCTGTGGTGATATGACCTGATGTAGGGCCTGGAATAACACTGGCGTCAGCTACTCTTAAGTTATGAACTCCACGGACTTTTAGTTTGGAATCTACTACAGCTTCTGGGTCGTTATCTGGACCCATTTTGCACGTAGAGGTGTAATCTCCGAGAGATGTTGCTAGCTGGCAGAGTGAACACAGCCAATATTCATCGGAGTCGAATACGTGGTGTCCACAACCTAAAAATTTTCCAAAATATTAATAAAATAAAACTTGATTTATCATACCTAAAAAACAGTGTCGATTAGTGTTCAGTTTCGCTATGTAGAAGCGAAAAGATGAATTTAAAGGTGTTCAATTCTCTGACTCATACTTAGTTTTTCTCCAAGCAATTTGATGTTTCAATTATTGCTTCTTCTCTAAACCACATTTACTTAGTTTTTGACCTACTAACCTAGTTCTCCCTCTTCACTGGCCTTTCTTAAATCTTAAACATCCTCCTCGGACATTTCTTTGCTTTCCTCCACCAAACCGACATCATCAGCAAAGAGCATTGATTAAGGAGCCCCCTCCCTTACCTTCTCTGTCAGTACATCTATAATAGGATTAAACAGAACATTTTCACTTAGTGAAAGCGTTGAGCAAACCAACCGTCACTGTAAAACTTTCGGTCAATCCGCTACAAATACTTACTTGGTGTACGCTCCCTCATACATACACTTCATGATGCTTATATACTTCTAAAGACCTCATTTTCTCTTCATTACATCTCCATAGATCTGGTCTATTAACTGTGTCGTGCGCCTTATCATGATTTATAAATACCAAACGACCAAATGTAGCGCTCTTTTCTTCTCGCCGTTATTATCAACTGTCTCATAGCAAACAAGGCATCCTTTGTCCTCTTTCGTGGCATACACCCAAACTATTATTCTCCTACCGATGTCTCCCTTCTTAACCTTCGTTCTTCTGTTTTCTGTCCAATTTTTATTGTGTTCTAGATTAACTTTATCCCTATATAGTTCTTATAGTCCTGAATGTTCCTTTTTCATATGCAATCATCTCTTGTTATCCTCGGTAATACATTCTTATTTGGGACTCCGTCTCTACTCTTGTGTTTTTCATTTACTAACTTTTTTAAAGATACTCATACCATCTTTGCTTTATTTTAACATCGGACCTTAACACTTTTCCCTCCGATGCCTTAACCTGCCTCAGGTGAATGAAGTCCTGTGATGACTTGTCCTTTACTTTAGCAATTCTGGATAACCTTTTCATTCGGGTGGTGTCCAACTCTTCATACAGCTGTGCAGACGATCTTTCCTTAGTGGTAGCTACAGCGCGCTTTTCTACCTTGTATAAATCTGTATATTTTTCTCTTTTAGACCTGTCCTGCTTCTAGCCTCTTTCTTTTCCCTAACCTTACGTTGAACTTCGTTATTCCATCACAAAGTTTTTTGTATCCGTAAGAGGCCCTTTACCAAATGTTTTTCCTAGCAATTCCTTTCCCACTCGTTCCATAACTTTGCTGTTAGCTTCACACCCTTCACATATGGTCATTTACTGTATCTTTTTTATTAAAACTGTTCCAGCACTCTACTCTTAAGACTTTTGTCAAATCCTTATTTTTTAACTTCCACCACTTTACTTTCTGGTCTCCTAGTTTTTTCCGCCTTATCTTCTGTATCTCCTTATTTACTATCACAGGTCGATGTTGACTAGCTATACATTCGCCTTTTATCACTTTACAGTTTGTAACCTCTTAGTAATAGCACAAAATCTGCTTGACTTTCCCTTGCCCTTACTTGACCTTAACCAGTAACATACTGGTCTTCAGTATTCATAAAAAACCTATTAATCACAGCCAAATTCCATGCCACTGCAAAGTTAAACACACATTTCCTTCATCATTTCTTATTCCCATCCCCAAACCGCCATGAACTCTTTTCTTCCTATACGCTTGTATGTTATCAATGGCGTTAAAGACAGTTATTGTCTTTCCCTGAAGTGACTATCTTCATTGACCTTGTTAAAAACATCTGTTAAATATGCCAATTTAATTAACCAATGCTCGTTACACAATCGATCACCCAAGGCAAAATTGCCGTCAATTAGGAAAGTTTTAAGTTCAGATCCATTTCAAAGAGCCTAGCTAAACATTTGCCGCTGGAAAGCCACCTTACTTTCGTATGAAGAAGTAAAGACGAATTTATTACTGCCCATGTTATCCACATCACTCTAAACAGCCTTGTATTCAGTGGTTGTGGTTTGATAAAATTGTTATTTTCACGGTTTCGTCCAAGACTACTTTTAAGGAAGGCGGAATTTTTTTCAAAGCAGGACTATGGCGGTGGAGGATACAGTGGCTACTGCTGCATTCCTTGGCTTTTTCGCCACAGTTTGGGAAATACTGGTCTACAGGCATATCTAGGTCTCGCAATTAAGGACTAAATTCTTCCTTTTTCTATTCTTCGCACCCACCTGTGTGGTATAGGCACATATAATCCCAAGTCGATCTCTGCCCCCCTCCAGCATCCGCTACCAAGCATGCTTTACTTGACTGTTCTCCTCCAGTTATCCACCTTCAATATCTCTTAAGAGATATTTAGACTGTTCGCACTACTGTATATTAATCCATCTTCAAGATCTCTCGATTTTTTACCTTTCCAAAGAGTTTCTTGCACACAAAATACACCAATTCTTCTTTGCATAACATTGCAGACCTCTCTTCCTTTATCTGTCGTATTTCTGAGTTGAGAGTTACAATCCTCAGGACTAGTTTCTTTGGCCACTTCCAACCTCTAAGGGATAGCCCTAGCTCAGTTTTTGTAGGGATCAGGCGAGGCCTAAACTGCGCGTAGCTTATGGAGAACACCCTATTCCCTAAACAGTTTTCCATATTCCTTCTGTCCAAGGTTTTAGCAAGATTTTTTACTGTCGGATGCCTTTCTTGACGTAAATTTGACTGCACATATTTATTTAAATTTACTGCAGAATTATATCATTCGTTCACTCCAGAATTCGGGACTAAATTTTATTAATATTCTTTTCTCTTCTTCTTGTGCCGTCTTCTAACGAAGATTGGCGATCACTTCTTTAAACGCTTCTCGATCTTTTGCAACCTGAAATATCTGTTCAACACTGAGGTTAGTCCAATCTCTGATATTCCTCAGCCAAGATTTCTTATTTCTTCCCAAGCCTTTTCTTCCCTCTACTAATATAGTTTTAACAAATGGTTATCCCCCGGATAATTTTATCCGTTACTCTTAATTCATTCTTGTAATGTCATTTCTCTTATATACTGCTATTCCTCTGTATTTTATTGGTTTTTGTACAGTTGCGGTCACGGAATAGTTTAACACCTTACTTTTTATATTGCAATACTGTAAAATTGCAGTGTCGTACGGATTTGATAAATGTCAAAGTCAAAAAATTTCAAAACGTCAATGCTTTCGCGAGTGTTCAACAATAAAATAAAAGTATATTAAACTCTTCCAAAATGGTTAGAATACATTTGAATTATGCGCAAAAAGCAAGAGCAATTGCCAAACTCGAAGAAGGTTGGTCACTAAGGCAAGTTGCTGCTGATTTGAACGTGAGTCATATGTGCATATGGAAGATTAAACAAAGATGGGATAATTTTCACTCTATAGCACGGTTGGGCGGTTCAGGAGGGCAGAAGATTTCCACAGATCAACAGGATGAGATGTTAGTAGATTATTTGAGAGAATCTCCTTTTGCCACAGCTCAAAAGGCAAGAGAAGAGGCAGCGTTTCCAGGCAGTATTCGCACTGCACGTCGAAGAATTAAAGCAAGTGGACTGCTTAAATTGTGTAGCTGCACGGAAACCTTTTTTGACTGCGGATCACAAGAGGAGACGAGTTGAATTTTGTAATGAATTTTTAAACCGCGATGAGAATTTTTGGTCTAGGGTTGTATTTTCCGATGAAAAAGTATTTCAGTCGTATAATAATGGTCGAATAAGAGTTTATAGGCCGAGAAATCATAGGTATGATGAACAGTATACGCATCATTTAAGAAATAGTGGAGGATTCTCTGTCAACGTATGGGATGGATAAGTGCCGAAGGCCCGGGCGTTTGTTATCATGTAGAGAGAAGTTAACAGGATTATATTACAAACATATTATTGAGCACACAATGTTGCCATCGGTGATCCAGAGATTCCCCAACAACGACTTTATCTTCCAACATGACAATTGCCCGGTGCATACGAGTAGAATTGTTCGAGAATGGCTAGAAGGAACTGATGTTAATGTTCTTCCGTGGCCTTCCCGTAGTGCAGACTTTAACCCGTCGAAAATGTGTGGGCAGAGTTAACAAAGAAACTAAATGAAAGAAACCTTAGACCACGGAATAGAATTGAATTATGGGAAGCAATTGAGCAGGCATGGGAAGAGCTTGTTAACTATAACATGAGGGGATTGGTGCTATCTATGAACAGAAGACTGCAAAATTGTATTGACAAGAATGGGGCTTCCACCAAATATTAATTATTATTTATCATTGTTTATCGTTATTTAATATAAAATAGATTTAAAATAAAATGCATATTAAAAAAAAGACTTCTTTATTTTCGTTATTAAGATCATAATCCATTTTATTCAAAAAACTGTTTTCTATATTTTTCATTTTGTAAAATATTTTGATATTTTAATTTTAATCTACCTATTCTAGCTAGTACACCACTGGCAACGTCACTTTGACGTAAAAGGTGCGTTTAAAGCGAAGTAAAAATTTAAAAAATGGGCTCCTAGATACGTGAACCTGTAAACTATTCCGTGACCGCAACTGTACATATGGTAGATATGAAGGTTTATCGGCATTACTCTGGAATCACTTCTCAGTTCGAATACATTTTAAATAATCTAACCAGTTATATTTAACCTGCGCCTGAAGATGTTTTCAATATCATGTTTCAGTATCGAGATGTTTAGTTTAATATCTTTATCGTTATCTATCTTACTCCTTCTTTTTAAATGTGACGTGTTGTCTTCATACATTTATATTTTTAACAAATATGCAAAATGGTAATTTGCATTCCTCCCAATAAAACCTCCACACTGATATATTTTAAATGTGTGATATTATTCTTGGTTTTCTTCTCATTAATTTTGTGAAACTAAACACTCCTCTTTTATTGACTCATTTTAGACCTCATTTTTGTAATTCCTATTTTTAAAGATCTTTTAGTACCTGATTAAAGGCTTTGGTGATGTGTACGTGATCTTCTCTGTTGGCTGTGAGTGAAAGATAGTTATCACCGTTGGAGTCTAATTTGACCAACTAAAAGTGAAGCAAGGGTTAGCAAAAAGCGAATAACTGTTACTAAAATATAACCAAAACCCGTAAAAAAATATTCTTACCTGGAATGGGAACACCAACGAGCTGAGCGCCATATTTTAGTAGGGCTGGACTTTTGGCAATCCTCTGAGCTTCCCTTATTCCCTCCAAAAGAGTTCTAGCGTCATAGTGGCCAGGGTCCGTAAGATAGTTGCTGTATATTTTAGGCCAGTGATAGGGGTTGTTTGTTTTAAGTTTTAAGTATCCAGACGACTTGGGATATAGCAATACTGGCAAAATCTAAAACAAATGCATAAGTAGTGATTATCAAATGTGAAGTTGATGATAAAACTAATTTAGAACACGCAAAAAGATAAAACGATAATTATAGGAAAAGATAAATAACCTCTTTGAATTAAAATCACTGCAAATACGGTTATATGAGGAACAGTATGTACAAGTTCTGAAGATAGCCCATAGATGGCACAGCTACAAAGCTCCAATGATAGTAATACCACAGAATAATAAACAAACAGAATACCCACTCTCCACGGAAAATTAAGTACGCGCATCTCCTCCGCGCAGACGTTCCGCCATGTTTTAGGAGGATTTTAAAGAAATTAGTGTTGTTTATGTGGTGTGTATGGAAAAATTAACCAGGTTTATTTGACTTACGGCAATCATAGACATACTATACAATTATATTAACATTGTTAAATATAATAACATAAATATAATATAATTAAACATAAATATAAACAATTACATAACCACACAAATCATATGTCTGTGTCCTCCTAAAACATGGCGCGCGTGCTGAAAAACTTCAAAGGCGGCATCTGAGAGTGGCCCTTCTGATTGCTTATTATTCTGTGGTAATACTATATTATTGAATATTACAATTATAAGAATAAACAATAGATAATTTATTTTATGTTGTTGAGAACACTTTTTAATCTTTGTTTTTGTTTCAGGTATGACTCGTTTTAATTTCATTGCAGACTCATTTTGGTAAGATATTCAATCTTTAATGGTCTAGCGCATATATGGGTGTGTTGCAATTAATATTGCCGTTCTATTATGGATGCAGACTTAAAGTAATCACGAAATGTGAATTTGATAAGATTTTATATTGTTGTAGAACTGATTAAAATAATTATGTGTTTTTGGCTAAACAAATAAATTTCACTGTCTTTCCGTAATAAAATCCTATTTTTGAAGAGTTTATTGTCAACAGGAATTCAACAAATTTGTGAAAGCATATATTCACGTCCGCACTCTTGTTATTAGCAATATAAAATAGAAAGCAGAGTTTAAACGCAATCACTGATTAATAGTGATCTAACTTGATATAATCTACAGTTAGAGCTTGTACGAATTTAAGCATAAAGGGCATGACACAAATCCAGTAAATCTTCTGCGATTTTTTACAGAGTATGAACGGTACTTTTTTCACTATAAATACGAATGAATTAAGACAAACAGTTCAAATAAACATGAAACGAAGTGTATTGAACTAATGGGACACCACATTGAGAAATATATAAATGTTTTAGTGTCCGCAGTCATATAAACACAAACAAACTATAATATAGATGATTTTCATAAAAAAATGTTTGTCTCTCGTAGACTTTTTATTTGAGCCTCGTATTTGCTAAAGAATCATATAATTTTTGCTATGTTCTACGAATTCTAAGGCACATAAACTTGACCAGAGATCGTTTTAAAATTAAGACAATTTAAATCCTGAAATATTGAGATTGAGTCGAAAATATAAGTTTTCCCCTTTAAACAATGTTTTTTTATGAGAATCCTCAAGCATGATATCCTGTTTACAACAGCATATTTATTATTCATTATTCATGACGATAAAATTCATTGATCATTAGCAGAATTACTTAGGAACGTGAATAATTTGTAAGCAATTTTAAAATTGTAGAAACCCAGTATGTTCCTCAAACGTAATACTGGTTGCCTATTAATTTGCTTATGTTTAATATTTATTTATTTTTATTCGGGTCTTTAGGCATTTTCAAGTCTGAAAAAAGAAGGATAACGTCTTTCTTGCTTTTTTACTTTTTTTGAATTGCCATGCATATACAGTTATAAAGAAATGTATGAAAATTATTTGATCATTAGCAGAATTATTGAAGAACAATAATTTGTATATGTTTGTAGAAAACCAGTATGTCAACCAAACGTATCACTGGTTGCCTAGGGTAAAGCACCCAATAGTCAGCCTCGCACCAGTAGTCGGCCTTTACAGTCTTTATTATAATGTAAATAGTGTTGAAATTAGTTTAAACCAGTGAAATGACTGTTGACAAAATCTATGTCCCTTCATTGGTCAATACGAACACCCCCGAACTAATAGCACCACAGGTTGATGAGCTGTACTCGTTCATTTTCACTCCCGCCACAGACAAGTCTAGACGATTCGCTGTTGCAATATTTTTGTAGAAAAACGTGTTCGAGATTTCGGTAAGTTTTTCTATGAATTTTATGTAATTTCTGGTGGATTTTATGTAATGATGTTATAAAATGTTTATTTTATGATAAAATTAATCATTAGACGCATTTTATTTGTTTATTGCCTTTTAATTTAGGGGGCCGACTACTGGGTTCTCGATTTTTTAAGGTTGATCCAGTACTCAGCCACAAGGGCTGAGTACTGGTTTGTTACGATTTTCTTAGATTTCCAGTAGTCAGCCATGTATAAAAGTAAATGCACGGTGAGGGCCGAGTAATAGACTTTAAACTCCAATAGTCGGCCGTTAGTTCTGATACATAAAACTGGATCTTAATGCCTTTTAATTAGGATTAAATTTATGGTAGGGGTTTTTAACATAAAAATCTTTTATTACAGATTGTCATCATGTCGAAAAGACCAATCCACAAGTATAAAGAAGAGCAATTGTCAGAAGCTATGACCGCAATAAGAAATGGGATGACAATTAGAGAAGCTAGTCGAGTTTTTAGCGTACCACGAGGAACCCTACAAGATCGGCTACATTTAAGAGTCCCAGAAGTACCACGTCAAATGGGACCAGACTCGGTACTTTCTAAAGAAGAAGAGACTGCCTTGAAAGAGTGGTGCATAGCCTTAGCAAAATGTGGCTTTCCTTTAAAACGCGACGATCTTCTTAATACTGTCCATAATATTATTTCCCAAGAGGACAAACCTAGACCTAACCCATTTGTAAATAATAGGCCGGGAAAAAAATGGTACCAGTCATTTCTTAGACGAAATCCTGAGTTAAGTGAAAGGACACCCGAAAATATATCTAAGGGCCGAGCAGCAGTAACCGAAGAAAGTATTCGGAAGTGGTTTACTGAATTACTGAAGCATTTAGAAGATATAAACGCGACTGATATTTTGACTGACCCAGATCGTATTTTTAATGGTGATGAAACCAGTTTCTACATATGTCCCAAAACAGGAAAAGTTATTGCACCTAGAGGGTACAAGAATGTCTACAAAATCGTAAAAGGCAAAGAAAAAGAGGCTGTTACAGTTCTTGTATTTATATCAGCTTCTGGGAAGATTTTGCCTCCTTGTGTAGTGTTTCCATATGTAAGACCACCAAAAGATGTTATAAACAGTATGCCTGCTGGATGGCTATTAGGAAAATCCGAAACCGGGTGGATGAAATCAGATATATTTTATGATTATATAGTTAAAGGTTTGAACACATGGGTGGAAGAAAAAAACATCAAAAAGCCAGTTATCGTTTTTGTTGATGGACATAAAAGCCACTTAACAATGCGGCTCAGTGAATATTGTTACGAAAACGGTATTATCCTTTACTCACTTCCACCAAATGCGACACATTTGATTCAGCCTGCAGATGTAAGTGTATTTAAGCCTTTAAAGTCACAATGGAAAGATACAGTACACGAATGGGCAATTCGTCCTGAAAATGTTAATAATATTTTGAGCAAATCAACGTTTTGTCCATTGCTCAAAAAAGTTTTAGAAAAAGAAAATTTGCCTGTAATTATCAGCAATGGTTTTCGCAAGTGTGGCTTATATCCATACAATCCAAATGCCTTGGATTACTCAAAATGTGTACAAAATATTCTTGAAAAACATCAGAATTCCACTAAGAATGTTAAATCTCCAGACAAGAAAATAAAGAATAGGCATTTGAACACCGCCATCAAGATAATTAATCAGCTTAGTAACGAGCTGAAAAATGCTGGAGTTGACTCGAAAATTGTTGTTGATGTTTTAAATACAGCAAAGAATAACGATACTGAAAGTCTCAATTCAACCGAAAATTCAATTAGCCAGACACAAATAAATGACATAAGTTTTCCTAACCATACACATATTGAATCAGACATAGTGTCACAACCAGTTCAAGTTTTTGATATAATTTTACCAAATATAGGTGATTCTACACTGGAAAATAATTTGAATAACTTGACAGAAAGTGACTTAAATGACTTCGAAATTATAACCGAATTTGAAGTCATACCACAAAATGAAGTCCAGGAAACACAGCCATCAGAAGTTGCTGAATTTAATGCAAATACGCCCGAAGATCTGAACTGTCACAAAGAACCTCGACACATGATAAGTTGAATATATCACCTAAGGAATCTGAAACAGAAACAAACATTAACCAAGATAAGATGGAGGATGACAAAGAAAATCGAATGGAAGACGAACTTTTAGAAAACCATAACTACATTACGGAGAATATAAAAATAACAAATCAAGAGTGCAGGAACCCAAACCCACCGAAAATGATATTTTGCAAGAAAATAATACACAAAATATGCAAAACAAATTAAATGACAGTTCAAAAAATATCAAAAACAGAATAAATATCTTGTCCAATGTTGTTGTCAAATCAACAAATCTATCTCCCGTGTTAGGTAAGTATTTAACTTTACCTAGTACATCTAAGACCATAAAAAAGAAGATGTCTATTAATAGAATAGGAGCCATTTCCTCCGATGAGTGGAGACAGTTTGAGAAGCAGAAGGAAGAAATTAAGGAGCAGAAAAAGAACGATATATGATTAAAAAAATTAAAAGACTGGAAGCTAAGGAAAAGAAGGAGAAAGAAAGAGAAAAGAAAAAAGAAGAATTACAAAAAAGAAAAGCCGAAAGGCTATGAAGTCCAAAAACAGTAAAAAGAGGAAGAATAGTACAACATGCACAGTGAGCAGAATAAGGTGTGACTCGTGTGAAGAGGAACTGACTAGTGACACAGAAATAAACGAATTAAAGAATATTGGTTGTGACAATTGTCCTGCGTGGGTATCATCTAAAATGTACTGAATTTGTTGGTGACGTTTATGAGAATGTATATAATAAAGAGTTTCTATGTCCAACATGCAAGAATAAGTAAGTGGCTGACTACAGGGTATAGACATGGCTGACTTGTGGAGAAATGAGGCTGACTACTGGTGAAAAGTGCAATATTTTGTTAAGTGTTGTTTTTTTTTATAATTATAACATAATAATAACATTTAGTTAATCTCTTTCGATAATTTAATAAACAAAGTTTCTGATAAAAATATTTGTTTTTATTTAACGTCTTTATTTTTTTATATGCAATTGAAACAAATTAAGATTCTCACTAAAAGGCTGACTACTGGGTGTTTTACCTATTTTGGTTACATGACTTTTTCTCCAAAATATGCTATTATTACGAAAAACTTTCTCTTCGGGTCTTCAGGCCTTTTCAAATCCGAATAAGAAGTACCTTAGGACCTTTCTTGATTTTTTTTTTACTTTTTTTTGTAGTTTGCAAGCATATACAATTCCGAAAAAAATATAATAATTTGGTGGAATTAGGGAAATGAATACTTGACAGAAAAATGGGGGGAAACAATATATTATTTCCGTGTGAAAAAAAGTATATGTTCAACAATTCAACAAAGAAAAGAGTAATTATTGGTAGATAACTTAGGAAAGAGAAATGTCCGAAAATTAAATTAGATTTATGCATGGAAAATCAAACGAAATACATGAAAATAGGTCCGCAACCACAAATACGACGGCCACTTGTTATAGAAAACGACGTCATCGAAGCAGTTAACGAATTTTTATACCTGGGAACGCTCGTCAATACTGAAAATGACACTACCGCAGAGATAAACGTGCAGAATTTGCACGGCTAATAGATGCTATTTTGGCCTTAATCTCCTTTTTAAATCTACAGCTATATCAAGAAATACAAAAGTAAAACTCTACAAAACAATAATACGTCCAGTCCTATGGTTCAGAAACCTGGACTTTAACAAAAAGCAATGAAAACATGTTAGGATGTTTCAAAAGAAAAATACTGAGGCGAATCTATGGAGCGGTAAATGAAAATGGTGTCTGGAGAAGACGATACAACTTCGAACTCTATAAAATATACCAGGAACCAGATATCATAAAAACACATTAAGATAGGACGTCTGAGGGTGGGTAGGCCATGTAATGCGGATGGAGCAAACCGACCCAGCTAGAAAAACGCTCCTTGATAGACCTATTGGTCAAAGAAGAAGAGGAAGACCCAGAACAAGATTCCTAGATAACATAGACCAAGATATGAGAAATATGGGAATACGTGCTTGCGGAGGAAGGCGATGGATAGGGACGACTGGAAGAGAATTATTGGGGAGGCTAGGAGCCACATAGGGTTGTAAAGCCAAAATGATGATGGAAAATCAAAAGATGCAGTTTTTATTATAATGCAATATTTTCCACCAACCAATGGTATTAAAAAGACAAACCTTCATATGTTATTCATCTCGCGAGATTCGGTGGTAAGTACTGAATAAGAAAGGGGTTCTCAGTGAGTATGTGATGGTAGTTATGTGTGATGGATTAACAACTAATATTAGGACAGGTGCAGGACAGACTCATAAACTTCGTATGAAAGTAGGATTTTATCAGAGCTCAATTATTCATCATCATCAACCTGTATCCATCCACTGCTGGACATAGGTCTCCCTCAGCTCGTTCCATCTGTATCTGTCTTGTGCGGCTTGCATCCAGTTATTGCTACGCTTCAGGTCGTCAGTCCATCTACTTGGTAGGCATCCTCTGCTCCGTATTGCTTCTTTCGTTGGCCTCCACTCTAAAATATGTTTTGTCCATTGATTGTCTGATATCTGGTGACGTGTCTTGTCCAATTCCATTTTACCGACGCGATTTTTTCGATGGCGTCTGTTGTTTTTGTTGTACGACGTATTTCTTGGTTTGGGATTCGGTCTTACAGAGAGACACTCAACATCTGGCGCTTCATAGCCATCTAGTCAGACGAATCTTATTAACTACCTTTTTTGTGAGTGTTTTCGTGAGTGAGTACAGGTAACACACATTGGTCAAAGATTTTCCTTTTGGTGCATATGAGTAGATCCGATTTAAGTAGATAGTTTAATTTACCAAACGCTGCCCAGGCTAATCCTATGTGACGTGGGAGCTCACATGTCTGGTTATCTCTGTCCAACCGAATTTCATGTCCTAAGTACTTATACGATGTAGTCTGCACAGTATCTCTTCCATCAACAGCAATATTTCGTTTTAGCACCAGATTAGTCATTGTTTGTGTCTTGTTCATATTAATCTTTAGTCCGACCTCCAAGGAAGCGTGATATAATTTTTAAAACATTATTAGTGCATCATCCATATGATCGGCTGTCGACGATGTCATCTGCAAATCTCAAATGACTGAGCTTCTATCCATTTATGTTGATAGCATGCTCGTTCAGATGTGCCTTCTTACAAGTATGTTCTAAAAGCCTCGTGAATAGCTTTGAAGAGACGGTGCCTCCTTGCAGTACTCCTAGCTGTATGCAGAATTTATCTGGTTCTTGTTCAGATAATCTTACGCTGTGGCATTTTGGTAGATAGATTTGATTATGTTAGTTTACCGATGTTCAATTGGGCATATCTGTTATGGCCCCTTGCTTTTGTAATAAAATAATGACTGCATTGTTTCATTGAGGAGTTTTTTTGGTAAATGCATTCGGTGAAAACCTTGGCCAAAGCCTGGATAATTTTATTTCCACCTAGTTTGGTCGTTTCGATCACTACTCCGTCATCGCCAGGGGATTTGTTATTTTTCATTTGTAAAAGTGCTGTTTTGATTTCGTATGGAGTTATTTCTGGCATTAATTGTGATCCCTGGTTTGAGATTTTGGGCAGGGCTGATCTTGCCTTTCGTCGGTGCTCTCATACATTTCTCGATAACAAGATTCGACAATCTCAAGGATGCCGGAGACCGAGGGCCGTTCAGTAGTTTCGTCTTTCACGAAAAATGACTTTTGGGGCTTTAATTATTATTGGTCGCTCAATTATTATTTTTCCTTAATTCTCGTTAGTGTCGGATTAGATAACAAGGGAACATTAACAGTTTTAGAACAAAATCTGAAACTATGGAGGCAAGATCCACCGAAGAAAAAGTTTTAAAACTTGTAGGACGAAAACAGAGTACATTTATCCGGTGTCTTCATTTGAATATTAAAATACCACCATAAAATTAAGACGATATATATGAGTCCCAAGATTCCTAAGAGGAACATAGGGGCTTCCACAAAGTGTCTCAGCGAACTCTATTTCTGGCTAGTGCTTTGATTTCAAGCCAGGATTTTCCCATTTTCTCCCTTCGTCCAGTACTGTTCGGGAGTGTAAGGGGTTCGAACCAACATCGATAAACATCATGACCCAAATGTCAAACCTCACCTGCTCGAGCGGTAACAAATGTGTTACACCGTGCCACCCTGCTAAATAACAACGGGCTCTTGGACGACCGAGTATAGGGGTATAACCTTAGTACCATAAACACGAAGAAAATGTCATGGTCCCATTCAGGAATTCCTGAGGCCAGTCTGATGGCTAGAGCTGGCAGCCCGGCATCAGAATTCGGGCGCGAGAGGCCATTCACCTATCCGCCTCAATTACTTGATTTTCGAAATTCTACATAAATAAGGACGATAGCTAGGAGAAACGATTGCGAAAATAAAAGTTTTTATTGTCTAGAATAACTAGATTTAGAGCCAAATGGATATTTCATCCATTCCAAGTAGAGGTAGATAAGAACAAGGAAGACGAGGTAATGGACAGTTAGGCAAAACATGAAAGAAACCATGGAAAAAGTTAAGCAAAGGAAGCAGTTAAGGAAGCCATAGCGATAATAACTAATTATGAAAAATATGAAGGTTTTACGATTTATCACTTACTTGTAGCACTGGCTTTCCTTCCAGTGGTTTCCAAATAGTATTATACACTTCCCGAGATATTCCAAATAGTTTTCTGTACACTAGGTTTTTATCACCACTGATACCACCTCCGAAGAGCAACAGTTCAATATTTGGTTGACTTGGATTCCAAACCAGAGTTTTCTTAGTATTTAGATACGTCACAGCTTCCAGTCCACCTAAAAAAATAAAGAATATTTTAATAGTGTTTAAAGATCTAAAGATCTCCCTCAGATCGGAAGATCGGAAGATCTGAGGGAGATTGGAGTGAGGGGCGGGAGAAGACAGACACTCGATAGGAAGGATGGAAGAATGTTTTGAAGCAGGCCAAGGCTCACGAAGGGCTGTAGCGCCAACTGATGATGATTAAAGATCTACTGTTGGACTGTAGGTTAACTGATACCCAATTGACATAAAAAAATGTATCCATGTTTTTAGTTTAATTCTTAAACAATAAATTGTCGGAATGCCACATTATTTCAATCTCTTCTTCTACTAACATTTAAGAAGTTTCTAGTCTTCATTTGTTTTTTATCTATACCTTTCTCATCGTCGCCTCTATTTGTTACTTTTACTCTTAGATATTCGAACTTCGCTAAATTTTAAAATTTGTATCCTCTCATATTATTTCTCATATTATCCGGGTACGAATAGAAATGGCAAGGGCAGCGTTCTTAAAATTCAAACAATTGTTCTCTGACAAAAATCTGAATATTGCGCTGAGACTGAGGTTTGTTGAATGGTACGTCTGGTCGCAATTATTTTACGGGGTAGAAACATGGACACTAAAAGTGCAAATAGTTAAAAAGATTGAAGCCTTTAAACTTTGGATATTACCGGAGAATGTTGAGAATCCCATGGACTGCCAGGGTCACCAATGAGGAAGTGCTGAGAAGAATGGGTCGAGTCAAAAAATTGTTGAGAACGATAAAGTACGCAAGACTGCATACCTTGGACACATACTAAGAAATAATAAATATAGTCTTCTGCAGGTCATCATGCAGGGTAGAGTCGATGGCAAAAAGGGAATAGGTAGAAAGAGGAAGTCATGGCTGCGAAATATTCGAGACTGGACAAACATGACTGTAGACGAATTATTCCACGTTGCAAAAGACAGAGAAGCTTTTAAAAATGTGGTCGCCAACTCCGTTAATGGGGACGGCATTGGAAGAAGAAGATATTATTTCTCATTACTACGGACTTATTTGCCCTCTCGCCTTCATATTGTTTACTTTTACTTGGTTTATACTTGGACCATCTACACTCTCTAATCTTTTTTAATGGTGTATTAAATAGACATTAGTTTCTAACAGTATATTAAATAGACATTACAATACCGGCAAACAATCTTTACAATGTGAATAAAACGCATAAATCAGGATAATTATCATTTTAATTTTACAAATTAATACTTTTATGTACGTGTACATAAGTACACCTGGGTTCAACCAAGGAGAAACACAAAGTTAATTATAGATTATGTCATCACAAAACAAGAAACACACATACAAGTTGAAGACATAAGAGTACTAAGAGGACTGGAGTGCGGAACTGACTGCGAATATGGTAAGATCAAAATGTCACCTACAGTATCGACCTCGGCTACTACATCAAAATGACAACCAACTAGCTCAATCAAAACCCCTGGAATCGAATTACCTAAATACAATATTGATGCACTGCAAAACGACTCGACATCATTCTTATATAAGCTGCGACTTAGCCAAAAATTGGCAAACCTGATCTACTCCTCAGCCCAGAATACCTATAAAGAGATAATCAATAAAATCAATGAAGCAGCTTACGAAGCGACTCGGCACAATCCAAAAGAACAAAAAGAATACTCCATTGTGGTGGACAAATGACATCGCCAATGCAGTACACAACAAGAAACAAGCATATCAAAAGTGGCTGCAAACAAATGATCCAGATGATAGACGAACATATGCAAGATCAAACAGAGAAGTAAAAAACTTTGTAACTAAAGCAAAAAATATTTCCTGGGAAAGTAAATGTGAAGAACTCAACAAATATATAGGGTCAACAAGATCAAGAGAAGCATGGAAAACGGTAAAAAATCTGAGAACAAAACAGAAAAAAATGAGTAGAATAGATTTAATAGAAGAAAAATCTTGGATCGAACACTACTCACAACTTTTGACTGAAACAAGACCTCAATTCACGAACATCAGTACAACAACATATGAACTGGAATTCAGTGAAGTCGATGAAATAACAGTACAGGAAGTCGAGAATGCAATACGAACTCTAAAAAATGGGAAGTCATGCGGACCACAAGGTATGCCAAATGAATTATTAAAACATAGCCCACAAGTATTACGGGAATTACTGGCGTATGTCTTCACCTTATTCTATAATGGACACGAATGGACCACCGGAGTGGACAAAAGCACATATTAACAACATATACAAAAAAGGAGATAGAAAGAATTGTTCAAACTATAGGGGGCTAAGTGTCATAAATTCACTCTCAAGACTGTATGGAAAAATAATAAAAAATAAAATTGAAAAAGAGATGACAGATGTAGAATAACAGAATGGCTTTCGTGCAGGCAGATCCTGCATGGACAGTATATTTACCCTAAAGCAAGTTATCGAGAAAAGATTAGCCCACAACCTTTCAACTCATATAGTCTTTATAGATCTGACAAAGGCATACGATAGTGTACCACTTTCAATGCTTTGGGTAGCAATGGAAAAAACAAGGAATAAGCAAAAAATAAAATATACAAGCAGAAGTTACAACTAGAAATTTCCTATTAGTAAGGGCCTAAAGCAAGGCTGCTGCATAGCACCTACACTCTTCAAAATATATCTAAATGAGGCACTCTCACTGTAGAGAAGAAAGTGCTACAATATGGGCATCCAATCGGAGATGATAGATTGTACACGATACATTTCGCTGACGACCAAGCCATTCCAGCTGAAGACGAGAGTGATATAAGCTTAGAAAACTGGAAGATGAGTACACCAAATGGGGCCTCACAATTAATATACAAAAAACTGAGTACTTAGTTGTAGGAGAAAAACCAGAAAGCCTACAAATCGAAATGGGAACTATAAAACCAACAGACAATTTTAAGTACTTGGGAGTCCAAATAACATCAAAAGCAGGAAGTAGCGAAGAAATACATTCCAGGATTGGCCAAGCAAGATCAGCCACCAGACAGCTACACGGACTATTATGGAATAAAAAAATAACAAAAGAAAATAAAAGAAGAATTTATAAAACAATAATAGAAAGTATTGGACTGTACGGCGCCGAACTCTGAGAAATAAACCAAAGAAACAAATCAAAAATTAAGGCCATGGAAATGAACTACTGGAGACGATGTTGCCAGCTCACTAGACTTAATAGGGTGAGAAACGAAGATATTCGGAGAGAAATGGAAATCGATCTAGACATAATAGACACAATCGAAGCCAAAAGACTTAACTGGTATGGACACCTTCAGAGAATGCCGGAAAATAGATGGCCAAAAAAAAAAATAGAAGAGAAAACGAGGTAGACCAAGACGATCCTGGAGAGACGATGTCGACGATGCAATGACCGCCAGAGATCTAACAACTGAAGATTGCTTCGACAGAAAACGCTGGAAATTAGGATGCGAGAAGCGGCGCAGCTGTAGAAGACTCGCTTGTTATGTATTATATAAATTAATACTTTGTCATATCACCCATGTAGTCGATGACAAGCTGCATTCTCTTGGGCATGGATTGGGCAGGGTTTAAAAAATATTATGCTTCCATGGTAACCCAAAATATCTTCAACTCCTCTTTCAACTGATTTATTTAACTCAGTCGACTCTCTCGACCTTATTTGACATATACTATTCCAGGCGTTGTTGATGGGATTAAGGTCGGGTGAGTTACCTGGCCGTTTCAATACGTTCATCATCCAGCCGAATTTTCACATCCATTGTTGGATATAGGCCTCCTCCAAACGTCTCCAGTTCTCTCTATCTCTAGCTGCTGCAATCCAGTTTGTTTCTATTCTCTTTAGGTCGTCGGTCCATCGGGTGGGTGGTCTGCCTCGACTTCGCTTGTCGGCTCTTGGTCTCCACTCCAATAATCTCTTCGTCCATCTTCCTCTTCCATTCTAGCAACATGTCCAGCCCACCTCCACTTTTGTTTATTGATTCGCAGTATAATATCGTCTACGCCAGTTCGTCGGCGTATCTCCTCATTTCTTACTCGATCTTTCAAGGTCAGGCCCAGCATTGATCTCTCCATTCGCCTTTGTGTTACCTCAGTTTTTCGGCAGTAGCTTTCGTTAAAGTTAAGGTCTCTGCTCCGTAGGTCAAGACTGGTAAGATGCATTGGGTTAAATGCCTTTCTTTTCAGGTGAATTGGGATATTGGTTTTAAAAATGTCTCTCATCCGTCCATATGCCGCCCATCCCAACGTGATTCGTCTATTTAGCTCGCAGGTTTGGTTGTCTCTGGTTATTCTAATTTCATGACCCAAGTATGTGTATTTATCGATTAATTCTACCTTGTTGTTATTGATCTGTATCTCTTCGCTGGGAACCATATTGGTCATCATTTTGGTTTTCTCAAAATTTATCTCCAGCCCAGTTTCTTGTAGTGTGTCATTCAGTTCTTGGAGCATGTCTTTGATCTCTCTCAGATTATCTGACAGAAGCACGATATCGTCCGCAAAACGTAGATGGTTTAATCTTTCTCCATCGATGGATATTCCTTTCTGTTGCCATGTTAGTCTTTTAAATGCATACTCAAGAACGGTAATGATACAGCTTTGGTGACATGGTATCACCTTGCCTGACTCCCCTCCAATACGTTGATATTGTGATCATTCAAGAACTTTGCCAATGTCTTAGCCTTGTGAGTAGGGGCACCATCGTGCATCAAGAAGTCACATTTGTGAATTTCCCAAAAGTTCAATAACTGTGTTCTAGAACAGTCACATAGTTGCTGGCCCTCATTGTAATATTCTTAGGCAAGAAATACAACCTTCCCCTTTCCTTTGTTTCCACTAAATGCACCCCATACCATTATTCTTTCAGGATTTTTGACGTTTTAACTGTGTACTTTGGATCGCACCATGATGCGGTGAGTGAATGACGAATAAATTTGGAGCCTCCTCTTACTAACCTGAACGTATTTCGTCACTGAACATGACCTTTTTCCACTGTTCAGGTGTCCAGTTCTGATACTTTTTCCAAAACGCTAATCTTTATTTCTTCATTGTTTTTACAAGCAAAGGTTCTTTGTAGTACGTCGACTTGGCAATGCTAGATCTTTCCGAATCCGGTTCTTATTGAAACGTTTTGAACAAGCTCAGACAGAACCCATGCAATTTTTCCTAGAATAGTAATTTATTTGGCAATGTAAAGATTTTTTGCCGGTACTGTGTATTAAGCAAACAGAGCATCTTCCTTGTTTCTCAGGAAAAGCGTGGTCCCATTGCATCATTCAATATGTTTCGTGCTATTAAAGGTCTTTTTAAAATCAATAAATAGCTTATATATTTGTTAATAACTCATTTTTCTTGCAGGCCTCACAACTCGGATGGGTGTTAGCCGCATCCATTATCGCCCTTCATCTCCTACGATCCTCCGCTTCCAGCTTGACATCGTTGTACCCCAATCCTAGACAAATTTTCTTTGACATCATTCTTCCATTTTTTTGTGGTAACCTACTGTTCTTATACCATCTGTCACCAATTCAGCATTGGGGTATCTTCTTCAGCTCGTTATTTCACCTCTTTGAATGCCAAATATCATTCTTAGAACCTTTGTCTCAATTACCAGCAGCTTGTTTATTTGCCGTTGATTGAGGGTCCAGATTTCACTGCCATAAGTAACAACTGGGCGACTAATTGACTTTTACAGTGTTCGTTTAGACTGTCTTTTTAACAACGTAGATTTCAATAATGTTGAAAGAGAGTATACTGCTCTATTCCCTGTTGTTATTCTTGCTGGGATGTCTTTTTCTACTTGGTTGTCATCTGTGATTACCGCCCCAGATAGTTAAACTCCTTCGAAGTTTTGATCATTAAGGGTTATATTCTGTCTTCGATTTTTGGTTACTGCCATGTATTTCGTCTCTTCTTCGTTTATTGGGAGCCACAGAATATCTGCTTCCTACTCGAGTAGTGAAAACACCTCTCCTACGTCTTTTATAGAATAAGCCACTGTATCTGTCGTCAGCAAAGGCAAACACCAGTTTTGAACCTTGATTGTCAAAACTCTGTCAGCTCTGACGATATTTTACTTATTGCGTGTTCCAAAGTAAAATTGAACAGTAACGGTGACAAAGGGTCTCCTTGTCTGAGTCCTGATGTTATACTAACTGGCGTTGATTTTATTTTTCTTATTCTTACCTGTACATATGTCATACGTATTTGTATTATTTCTACTAATTTTCTTATTCCCATTTCTCGCATTGCTAGCCATAGCCTGCTTCTTTTTCTAAAATCGTATGCTTGCTGGAAATCTATGAAGATTTCGTGCACATCCCGGTTGAATTCCCAGTTTATTTCTAATATCGATCGGCTCGTAAATATTTGATCTATAGTTGTTCTTCCATCTCGAAATCCGTATTAGTATTAGTCACCTAGCATAGTGAGTCTTTTACAACGATAACTGCTAGAGGTTTAAAGCTTCCATTCCATTCCCTAGACAGTTTCGCTGTTTCCATATTCTCATAATAATTTCATATAATTCTTTCCGTAAAACGTTTTTTCTCTTTTTTATCATTTCTTCATTAATACCATCATTTCCTGGTTATTTATGATCTTTAAGAGATGTTAAAGCATTTTTTTACTTTTTGGGGTGTTGGTACCTAGTGGTATTTCCACATCTGCAGAATGGAATGTAATATCTTGTATCTCCGTCTCACTTTCAATATTTAGTAAATTCTGAAAGTATTCCTTCCATCATTCTCATAGATTTTGTTTCCCCAACTCTTCCACCTTGTCTCACTGTCTTTACTACCTTATTAATAACTGTTTTTGTATTAATTTTAATGTAAAAATTTGACAATGTTTGATTCTTCCTGGTTTGAATACATCCTGGTACTTCCCTGATGCGTGTGCTTCATGTGGTTATAATATTTTTTTAATAACTTTTGCTAGGGCTTTGTATACTACGATTACAATTTTTCCAAATATTACAATTTTTACAAAAAAAAAAAATAGTTTTGGCACATTATTATGTTCTGCCATTCCTCTAGCGAGTTTTCATTTTGCCATACTTTTGAAATAAGTCGGGTTATCCATTCCTTTCATTTTACTTCTCCTTTCAATATTTCTACTGGGAATCTTCTTTCTCCTGTTCTTTTATTATTATTTATTGCTTTCGTCGGGTCCAATTTGATTCTTGATCTTTTTTTTTTTCGTTGTTAATCCTCGAAATACTCTTACCATCTATTGAGTTTATCTGTTATCCTTCAAAAGTAACCGTTCTTAGTTTCACCAAAATCTTTTACAACTTATTGTTGGACCCTTTTGTTTTTAAACTTCTTTCCTACTTTTTTCTTGTTGTTTTTTCCTTTTTGTCTACATATTCATTTTGTTTGTTTTTTAATTTTAGCATCATATTCTGCTCTATTTTGTCTATATATTTCTGCTCTTAATTATTTCTATGTTTGCTTTGTTGTTGTGGTTTATAGCTGGCAGTATTTTTCAAACCAGTTTCCTCAGTAGTTTACCACACTATTGCAATAATTTCTATAATATTAGTAATATATTTATAACCAATATTTCTGGTTATGGATTGAGTTACTCTGTTCCTTTTATTCTGGTTTGTTTATATTCTATATCTATGTTATATGCTTATCTATCTTATTTTACAATATTGGCATTCCACTATTCAACCTACACTTAAACGTATCTCTCTTTAGAAGTATGATCGTATCACCTTTTACATCTTCGTAATAGGGATGAGCCACAACAGACCTCTTAGGTCGACTGGAAGGGTGATTAAGTACTTACTCATATTGAACTTAACCTAATCTAACAACTTCATAAACTATCAAATCCCAAACCATATAAATAATTATATTATACTTGAAATGCATGTTCACCTTACCTATTGGTACTGTAAATGGACCTTTTCCATCATTAATATCGATGTAGTTGTCCAGCTTACCAGTTTCCCACTCTTGGTTGGGAACGATCGACTGGTTCAGTACGAAATTCAATCCAGGGAATAAGACATGATCGTATAATTTCTTTCCTACTGGTAGATCCTGTACTAATGAAATACCTGAAAAAATATCAAAAGTTTTAGTAGCAGTTTTTAGTAACTTTGCATGGTGGTGAAAACATAATCAGACATAAAAGTTAACCGGATAAGATGGACAGGTCATATGGTAAGATTAGAGTAGATCAGAGTATTAAAAACAGTGTTTTTGAGAGACCAGACGGTATAAGATTAATCGGCCATTCCAGGAAAAAATGGAAGAATGATGTCGAAGAAGATGGTCTAGGATTTGGGGCATAACGATGGAAAATGGAAGTGCTAGCCCTTGAAGTGATACTATAACGCAGATGATTCAATATAAACTGAAAAACGGTGGAAAGATTATTATCTTTAACTTGCTTTTAAAAGTTTGAAAAAAACTCATAAGTAAAATCGGGGAACAGATGTCCCAAAATACTTACCCAAATTCTCCAGATGCCGTTTTGGTCCAATTCCTGACAACATTAGCAGCTGAGGACTGTTGAAGGCCCCTGCACACACAATAACTTCCTTTTTAACTGAAGCTTGCCAGTACTGCCTGGCTCTGATATATTGAACGCCATAAGCCTGTTTGGTGTCAGGACTTATCAAGATTTTGATGGCGCGGGAATTTTTGATTATTTTAAGGTTATTTCGATAACGTACTGGTCTAAGGAAGGCTTTTTCTGCGCTGACTCTTTTACCGTTTTTGGTGATTGTTTGAAGGTACGAAACCTGAAACGTACAAAATATATCGCGAAAATATAACGTCGCGAACTTGCATGAAAATAAATTTAGAACAAACATTTTAACATGAAAAACGTAAAATGGGAATTGCTTTGAATCAATAGATGAATAATTCAGTGTTAAAAAATCAATAAAGCAAATGATTAGGATAAATATGCTAATGAAAAATAATCTTACACCAATTTGGTTTTTTCCATTATAGTCCAAAAACGGATACCCTGCTTCCTGGGCAGCCTGGACAAAGGCATTAGCAGATTGTGTTCTGTATGGCACATCGCTTACGGTTAATGGTCCTCCAGCCTGATGGTACTCAGAATCAGCCGCGTTGAGATTAGCGTTTTCGGATTTTTTAAAATACTTTAGCACGTTTTCGTAAGACCATCCTGGGTTTCCAGATTCTTGCCATTGGTCGAAATCTGCTGGATTTCCTCTGGAATACAGTAAAAAGTCTGTGATGGAGCTGCCTCCTAGAACTCTTCCAGAAGGTAGTCTCATTCTTTTATTTGGACAACCTAAAATGCATAAAAGTATCTTAGATCAGTTTCTAAACTTTTTACCAAGATCATAGCAAATAGCAGTAAGAATAAGGTGGCAATATCTGAAGATAGATAGATATTAGAGTCCAAACAAATCAAAGAGGGTGCAGCTAAGTGAAATAATCAAGATACTTGAGCAGAATAGTGCATACACGAAATTTTTTTATAAAACTTATCACATAGATAGAAAGATTAGAAATAGAACATGAGTAAAGGTGAAAGGAGGTCTATCTAAGTGTTAATTAATCCTGGCATATGACAAAGAGATAGATATTTTATTTAACTTCGTCATAGACCAAATGATTAAAAGTATTCGCAACGTCAACGCAGGATATAAGATGAGCCACCGCTCCCTTAAAACCCTGTATTACACGTATGACTCCATCCCGACAATAGCAAAGGAAGATCGTCTGCAACGTGTACAATATGATATGAAACAAATGCCACATAATTTCAATATGAACATCTCGATCAAAAGACACAATGAATGGTCATCTCAAAGAACCCATATGATGCAAGTTGTACTAAATGAAGTGAAGAAACCTGATGGAAGAGACACGAAAACCAGCGATAAAAGCAACACTAATCAGCGGATACCTGTGAGACGATATGATGAGAAAAGAGAGCAAGATGGGAACACATTAAAGCGTGAGAGAGACCGATATCGTCATACAAATACCAATGTACAGAGCCAAAACATCAAATATAGAAAGAATAATATTAACTATCGAAATGAAAATACTATGAACTCTCAAGAGAACCTCAACGGACTAAACTGAGGACGGCTCTACTCCGGGTAGCAGACGACGCGACACCCAGATTTCGTTAAGTTTCTCTCGATATCTGGAACTTTGCCAGAAGTGGCCATCAATCCTCTAACTTCTCATGTGAAAAGATTGGAGTAGCAACAAACAAATCAAAATCGCAGTGAAGCTCTGAAAGGTCCGAAAAAAAAAACGGCGCGTGACACAGCGCCAAAAACGAGAAAATGTTTAAGTACCTGTTAAACACTTGACTGCTTTTGACAGCTTATCTCATGATGCGATATGGAAAATTTTAGAGCTAAGAAACATCCCGCATAAAATAATTTCATTATAAAGTTACTGTACACTGAAGCGAAATGCAGCGTGACACACAATGGGATCAACAGTGACGAATTTGACGTACTTACTGGAGTCAGACAGGATGCGTGCTTTCTCCGTTTCTTTTTAACATAGCTCTAGACTATGTTCTCTCCAAACTAGACTCTGACACAAGAGGGATACAATGGACGTTAACCACACGCCTAAGCGATCTAGAATACGCCGACGATATCTGCCTGTTCAGGACAAAGGTTCCAAGATGTGGCTGACCAATTGGAAACACTTTCCACTGAAGCCAATAAAATAGGTTTGAAAATCAATATTGGTAAAACCAAATCCATGAGAATAAATGCAAGAAACAACACGCTATTCACCATTAATAACATGCAGATTGAAAATGTGGAAAACTTTACGTATCTTGGAAGTGTCAAAACAGAAAGCGGAGGTACAGAAGACGATATTCGTATGAGGATACGAAAAGCGCAACAAGCTTTCAGCATGCTCAACCCTGTTTGGAGGTCTGGAGACTACACTACGAGGACAAAGATCTGCATATTCCAGTCAAATGTCATGTCTGTACTACTTTACGGATGTGAAACCTGGGAAAGCGACAAAAACCCTTACAGACAAACTGCAGGTCTTTGTTAATAAATGTCTACGAAGAATTGTTCGTATTTTCTGGCCTAACATCATCAGAAACGAAGATTTACTACACCTGACCAAACAAAAGAGGGTAGTAAATGAAATAAAGTCCAGAAAGTGGGATTGGATCGGTCACACACTCCGAAAAAATAACTCCAGTATTGCAAAGACTGCCCTAGAGTGGAGTCCCCAAGGAAAACGAAAAAAAGGTCGCCCAGTACAAACTTGGAGAAGATCCATCATGGACGAGATAAGAAAACAAGGAAAGTCTTGGAATGAGGTGAAGGCCTTAGCGTAAAATAGAACCCGATGGCGCGTTTTCACTGAAGCTCTATGCTCCACTTAGGAGTTCAAGAACCTTATATATATATAAATATATTATATATATATATATATATATATATATATATATATATATATATATAAACACTTGACACAAATTTTTAATTAGAAAAAATATTCTATGAGTAAACAAGATTTTTTTTTAATCTTCATTTTGTTTATCTTCTTCTTCTTTTGGAATCATAACCCTGGATTGGTCTTTGCCTGTCTGGCTATGTCCTTCCATTCAGACCTCTCTTGGACCCTTCTCCTCCATTGTCTTATATTCGTGGTTTACAGGTCGTCTTCCACGTCATCCAACCATCTCGTCCTGGGCCTTCCTTTTTTCCGCCTTCCTACCGGCTTCCATTGTAACATCCTTGTTGTTTTCGTGTCTTCTTTCGCTAAACATGTCTCAGCCATGACAGTCTTTGACTTTTCACAAATCTTACAATGTCATACCCCTCATTCAGTTCATTAACCTCGTCGTGTCTCCATGTGCCGTCTTCCTCTTGTACCGGGCCATATACTTCTCTTAGTATCTTTCTCTCTAATGTCCTGAGTTGTGCTTCCTCTTTTTTCGTCATTACACAGGTTTCACAACCGTAGGTTACTACGGGTGTAATCAAAGTTCTGTAGACATTCATTTTGGTTCTTTTGTCTAATAATTTCGATGTCATTAATCTTTTATTAGCTTTATATGTAGTATTTCACTGGAAATACGTGCATTAATTTCGTTACTTACGGAATTTTTCTGATTGCTTTTTGTGCCCAGATATGTGAATGTCCATCCACACGTTCAATAGTTTAGTTGTCTATTGCTATATTATTTTCATTCTTAGGTGTTCTTTTGATGGTCATGTACTTAGTTTTTGTTTCGTTTATTTTAAGCCCTCTTTTTGTGCTTCAGGATCAATTTCCTTGAACAAGATAGTGATCTGAGTCAGAGTTCGCCCCGCAATACGTTCTGACATTAGTTATGTCTGTTGTCCATGTTTTTGAGATGAGTATGTGGCCAATTTGATTGGCTTCGGTGGTTCCTGGTATTTTCCATGTTCCTTTATGGATATATTTTCTCTTGGAGTTAGTGCTGACAACTACATAATTATTTGACGTTGCAAATTTTGTAACTTAAGTCCATTTTGACATTTTTAATTATGCAAACTATGTTGTCGTATGTCGCCTAATATTGTAACAGCATCGTGTCTTTGGATTTTATCACATACTTCCTGAAGTTCTCCATAGAATCTTTCAACCTCGTCTTCATCAGATTCTTCCGTCAGTGCATATACATTAACCATTGTCACGTTATGCAGCTTACCTTTGAGTCTTATGGTGCAAATTCTATCTGATATTGGTATAAATGCGATAATGGCTTTCGCAGTATTTTGGTTACCATAAACCCTACTCCTCCTTGTCTCATTTCATTTATCTCGGAGTAGTATAGTGAGAACTTATTTTTACGAATTTCTCCCTGGCTCTTCCATCTGATTTTCTGCAATGCCAATATTTCAACGCCGTATTTTTCAATTTTTTCTGCCGTACTTATCATAGCTCCTGTCTTTAAGATCGTTGCACGTCATTTTGTTTATAATAAAAAATTAATCCTCTTTTTGAGGGGTTCGTCTTTCGCCTACATAGGAAGGCTAAACAAAAGGGACCTAAATAAAAGATAAGATAAAATCTTTTGATAGTTTATCATTGTAAGTGTACCAGGACTTTTGAAAAAGTTAGTATCGTAAAAATATATTCTAGATTACTATATCGCTACCTTGATGAAGATATTCATAACTATCATAACGTGGATGATATTTGAAATGTTTATTAATATTTTAGAAGCATTTTAAAATTTTATCATTATGAACTGTGGAAACTACTAGAACTACCAATTAGCGGAAAATATCTTTTGATCAAAGAACATATATATCTGGATCACTATATCTAATGAGACAATGATAGGAAATAATTTGGCTCAAAAGACTTTTTTAAAAAAGACACCGGTGGTTCAATATGTTGTTTAAGCTGAGAAAGCTTATTTTATTCTCTTCTTCTTCTTTTTATGTAAACATGACTGTCTGTTTTTTAATGTGCCTCCAGTAAGTTGTCGTTCTACGTGGTCTTCCTACTGATCATCTTCCTATTGTGGAACGTCTATTGCCGTCTTTTAATTTCCGTAATGCTTTTCTTTACCTCTTCCTCCTCAATATTTATTTCTTCGTTTGTCGTCACCTCTGGTGTTAGTGGGTCATTATCGTTAGCTTTAGCAAATATAGATCGAGTAGTCTGCCCATGTTTCCTTCTAAATGGTTTTAGTTTTATTAGTTTGTTCATCTCTTTTTATTATCCTCTGATCATTCTTCATAGAGAACAGTCGTGTTCCATCTGTTTTGGGAAGTTCTGCCAGTGTTGCCAAGGCTTTCTTTTTTTCTTCACGTTTTGTCTTAACTTTCTCTCTAAACCGTGGGGTTTTTTTGATATGTTAGTTTTCGTTATTTTCCTACCTTCTATCTAATTATGTTGTTTTTGAGTTTTTCCCAGCTTTCCTCCTCGATATTGTTTCCCAGCAAAATTCTATGCTGTTCTTTTTTTGTATCAGTATTTCGTGGATTCTGTATTTAGTCCTTCGACTCTGATTTTTGTTTGTATTGGCCTGGGCCGTTTACTCCAATGATGTCCAGGTCTTCTTTCTCTATCCCTATCTTTGGTGTTGCAATCCTTTCTGATATTTATTGATACTCTTTGATTTGATTTTGGTACCTTTCTATAGCTCAGAAGCCAATAAAATATTCTAAGAATGCCAGTGCCTGTCCAAAATCTCTCACCCAAAGTATTTTCTGAACTCTCCTTAAAAACTAAATGAATAATTTTTTTGTGTAACTGAAAGAAGGTATGTAGTCAGAGTTTTTATTTAATTTCCATAACATAATCCTT